GGCAGCAGATCCAGGCGAAAGGGGGGGGGGGGTGTGAAATAAATTGGAGAAAGAGTAAATCAATGCTAAAGAGAACCAAACTAACCTCAAGGCTAACCAAGCACCTTTCCTCCTCCGCCCTCATCCTTTCAACTCCACTTCAAATTGTTCCCGTCCAGACACGTGGTTGTATTTTCAAGACCCATAATTCTCTCTAGTTTGATGTTGAGTTTGGCTTCAAGTGGCAGCTCGAAGCCCGACTTTTATTTATTTATTTTTTGGGACGTATTGAATATTCAGAACACTGAAAGCTCATTCAGTTTGTGATGTGAGATTTCGGAGCCCGGGCGTAGTCTCGAAGCGTCCCGTCGGGACTGTCGTGAGCGCGTCTCTCACTATCCCGTCGTCACGTATGAATTTGTGACCTCGCCAACCAAAAACGACAAGTCAAGTTGTGACATTGCGGCAGCGTGGGGGCATTGCGAAAGTGGGGTACAGATGAAGCCAAACCCTAGCGGTCTCGGGCACGGCAACGACTGAGTGTGTGTGTGTGTGTGTGTGGATTGGGATTATAAGGGGCGGGGGCGCGCTCACAGCCAAAGGCTCTTCAGTGAGTTTTCCATTCAACCTTAAGTCCTCTAAGACCTGCTCATCTCTTCTAAGTGCGGCACGCTGAGATGTGATCTAATGCCGAGTGCCACATGAGAGCGTGCGTGCGCGTGCGTGCGTGCGTGCGTATGCGCTGTGACTCTTTGATGAGACCCCTGCCGGTTGTGTGTCGACGTGTGTGCGGCTGCACGTTGAAGAGTAACGAAGGCCTCTCTGTGTGTGTCTGTGTGTGCATTCGGCTTCATCCCCGAAGGGTTGGTTGGGCTATTCTTACGCAGGTTTTCCCTTTTTTTTTTGGGGGGGGGATTGAGTGAGGTCTCTGGGTTTTGCATTCAGATGTAATTAGCGGCCACAAAGGCCTGGTTAAAGCTGGAATCCTCCGAGCTGCACTCTGGCTTTGATTGTGTGGGCCAGCTGTGGAGGAATGGCCATTATCTCCATGCATAAAAGAACCCCCTCCCCTTCTCTGTTGCCCAACACACACACACACACACCCCTTTGCTCTAGTCCGCCCAGCATTTGGGTTCCCATCAGGGGGAGGACCACGAGCCGGTCATACAAAAAGACGAAAGCTCCCCAAAATGGTGCTTTCTTGCAATCGGAGATCCGGATGAATATTCAACACAACCCCCCCCCCCCCCTGAGAGAATTCTCTAGGAAATAAGACACACGTGGCTTTTTAGTAGAATTTGCAAAGTTGTTTTCTGTTCTATTCACGGGTGCATTTAATCATAGATGTCCGACAAAACAGTTCGGGTGGGGGGGGGGCACTTAGGCCCATTCGTCCTGTGCAGAAATTGAATCTTCTCGGCGATTGGGGCCGTTTAATTAGTGTTAATTTAACGCTCAGATTCTCCATCATTAAGCTACTCTCGGACTCGCAACAACCAGGCCGAGACGGTGTGTTTTTGTGTGTGCGCCAAAAGTGTGTCGTGTTTTGACAGCACAGCCAGTCCTTTGACTCGAATTAACGGCGACCTCTTCGGCGTGGAAGAAGCGGGATTCGCATCGTTTATGCGTTATTAAGTCCTCTAATTGGACAGCCAGTAGTTTGCATATTAGACTATTAGGCTAATATGTTTTGCTCCTCTCGGCTGCACGGCCCCCCGCAACAGCCCCCGGCGACACATTTGGTGATTCTGAGAATTACGCTCTAATCGTAAAACTGTGTTCTTTTGATCCCCCACAATTCCGTTCCGGCCACGCGTCTTCGCCTCGATTTGATTTAACACGTTTATTAATTAGCCCGACTCGCGTTGGTCCTCATTTTGCATCTGTGAGGCAAAGTTTTATCGCTGTTGACGCATGTCGCCGACGTAATATGAACACTTGAAGGTTAAATACTGTATTTATTATTTTGTCCTTCGGGGGGGGGGTACATTTAAACTTTTCATCGCTTTCATGTTTTGCTTTGGCTGCCCCAATTTAGGTTTTCTTAGATAAGTTCTCAATCATATTTCAGCGGAGTTGAGGATAGTTCTCAGAAGAGGTGTCAAAATCATTCGATTAATCGACAAGTTAATTAATCGATCATGAAATTAATCAACAACCATTTTGAGGACCGAGTAATTATTTACCGCCGTTGTTTACCCTAAAAATGATCCAGATGCAAACTTCAGAGAGACAGCTAAGCATGCTTTGCGCCTTTTGTGGAAATCTGTGCTAACTCGAGTGACAGCAGGTGTAAAAGAATATTTTTTTGGATCAAATGTAACTTGGTTTTAAAATTACAATTTGGAAAGGGGGAAACATTTTTATATTTTCTCTATCGCCATTGCTCAACGGGACTTCGCTGCACAACCACAATGTCGTTCACAATGTGGAATAAATATTTCACAGGATTTAGAATAATGCCTTGCTAGAACACGGTTCAAATTTCCCAGCTATGCTGCTTCACTGATTTTTTTTATTTTTTATTTTTTTTTATTACTGTGCATTGTGTTCTGCGTCCTGATTGGCTCAGGGACTGTCGACTAATGTCAACAGGCTCTGCGCCTCATCTAATCTCTAAAAACTCAGTTATTTTTTTAAATGCTTGGGTCTGGAAAAAAAGATTTAACCTTAGGCGTCATTCAATCGAGTATTGTATGCATCGTAATTGTAAAAAAATAAAGATGACTCCTTCACGGATTCCCCTCGTCACGGGTTCTTTTTTGGAACGTAACCCCAGCGATGAACGAGGTCTTGCTGTTGTTCCAAAACAAATCCTGACATTCGAGCAGTCCACACCCCCCCCTGACTCCCGCTGCCCCTCCTCCTCCCCCCCCAGCGGGTTTAGTGAGACAACAGCATGCCTCCATCGCAAAGTTTAGCCAACAAGCAGGTGGGAGGAGGGCATCGTGGGCTTGAGGGTCTCCATTCTGTTTAGCCCCCCTCGCCGTCCTCACCAAACACTCTCCCTCCCCTCGCCTCCCCTGCCATTATTTGTCCCGAGCGCACGGCCCCCAATGGGCCCTTTTGGAAGGCGGCGAAAAGAAGAAGAAGAAGAAGAAGAGATTGCAGCTGTGCCGTGGGCGTTGTTGTTCCATTCAGCGCCCTCGCCATGGCAACGGGGCAAAAGGCCCTTGGAAGCACGCAGCTCTTCTCTCTGGACAGCGCAGCCAGCTGGAAGTCTCTCGCCGGCACCAATGCTTGCTAAATATCCCAAATATTCCTTTCGGGTCTACGACAGCGTAGAAATGTTCAACTTCACTCAACTTATTTTGAATCCAGTCGGTGCACAAATGAACCTTTTTACTAAACACGCCCCCCCAAAAAAAATACAGTTTTGTTTTTCCCCAGCCATCTGCTGGGTCGCTGTGAATTTGGAATAGATTGGATCACATTTACCCAAGGTTGGGTTAATTATTTTGACCCGTCAGATTGGGTTGAAAATTGGATTTGGTGCAGGCTGAAGCCGGTTGCCATTTGTGTAGCGGTGCGTCAGTAGATTTCATGTCATATTCTCGACAGCGTTGGTTGTGGCTGCATGGCTTAGCGGCTAGACACAGATATTGGACTATGCTGGGAACGCAGCATCCTGGTCCCTTTGACTCATTCGTATGGGTAGTTTTTAACCCTTGTTGCATCAAAGCTTTTCTTGGTCAACTCTTTAACCAAATACGCCAGGTAGAAATAACTCAGCGCTGGCTCTGTCCCCTTTGGACCTGGTGCTGGGTTAGCTGTTTCGCTCAATTTTTTTCAATTTTTTTTACAGTTTTAAGATCTTATAAGAGCTATTTTCATTCATCCGTTCGATTTTTAGTCACACTTATCTTCATCTCAGCTGACGTTGCGTTGACATTCACACCCGTGGACAATTTAGGTACCGTATTTTCCGCACTATAAGGCGCGCCGAAAAGTCTTCGATTTTCTTAAAAGCTCAAAGCGCGTCTTAAAATCCGGTGCGCCTTGTGTATGGTCATTACGGTAATACGTCGACCTCCAAGATGGCTCCTTGCTGGAGACGTGCTTACAATGTTCGAACTTGCTGTTGGTTCAGTGAACTGTGTCGCTGCTTTATGAAAGAAGTTTTTGTTGCAGCTCCGAAAAAAGGAGAGCTGTGGTGTTGGTTTTTTTAAAACGCACGCTTTATTCATGGTTTTCACCGTCTCAACAAATACAGGCACGTCTTTGTCGGTCTCCATGCCTTTTCTTCTGTTCGACTCGAGAGGCGTTCATGACCGCCTCCGAAAAACGGAAATGAAGGATTCTTTCAATGAAACTACAAAAATTGAAAATAATGCATCAAAACAGAAAATCAAGGCAGGAAATCACAAAATAAATTCTATAGCCCCCCCCTACAGAATTTAGTTTGTGATTTCCTCGTTTGTGAATACACAACAAAGGAAGAAACAAACACTTTACATTTTACTGACATCTGATCGTTCTGTTGGAGCTACGCCCAAGCTTGCCATTTTTTTTTTTTTTTGTATTTTACAAGATAATTCCATGACACCAATGACTTAATTGTCAGTGCGCCAAAACAACTTTTCATTTGATGACTGATCTACGTGCTCCATTATACATATAAAAATCCCTTTATAATGATTTGCGAGCAGGAAATCACGAGGGAATGATACCGGGTGGAATCATTCAGTCGCTTTTACTTTTCAGTGAATTAAAAGTCCCTACATAGGGAAAAGGTGAGGAGTGAATGATTGCAGCAGTCTTTGAAGTCTCCAAACGAAAATGATGCTTGTGAACGGTTGTCCCCAAGTGACTGACAGGTGATCAATCCCAGCAGCGATGCATGAATGAGAGCGAGCCTTGTGTGTGTGTGTGTGTGTGTGTGTGTGTGTGTGTGTGTGTGTGTGTGTTTACACTCTGCCTCCGCTGTAGTGAGCTCCAGCACGCTGCGGGACCGACCGCTCGTAGTATTGTGGGGCCGAGGGGATGGGATGAGGGGGGCTTTGTGCACAATCTCCCGTGACCAATGAGCGGGGTGCTGTCAGGGGTAACCACATGTGTCAGCCACTCTCGGCCAATAAAGAGCGGAGCGAGGCGGACCACAGGTGCGCGCCTCTGCCTTGCGTCCCTTTGGCACAGCGCCCCGGAGATGCTGGAGAGAGACGCCTCGCTGCCCCGTGGCGCGCACCGCTTTCCCGTCAAAGGCAGCCTCCTTCCGTCTCCCCCCTCCTGCTCCCCACCCGGGCGGTGATGGCGACCGCCACGTCCAACCACTTCAGCGTCCTCAGCAGCCCCGGCAGCCCTCCGCCGCCGCCGCAGCAGCAGCAGTCGGAGTCCGAAACCATGCAGCAGCAGCAGCAGCAGCAGCAGCAGCAGTACAGGGACGCGCACGCCCTGCTTCAGAGCGACTACGGCGCGCACCCGCTCAGCCACGCGCACCAGTGGATCGCGGCGCTGTCTCACCACGGGGACGCCGGCGCCCCGTGGCCCCCCAGCCCGCTCGGCGACCAGGACGTCAAGCCCGTGCTGCAGCACGACGGCGACCGCGAGGAGTTACGCGACACCGGCGGCGGCGACGCGCAGCAGCGACACCCTCACCCCGCGCATCACGACGCCAGAGGATGGCGCGCCGGCAGCGCCGCCTCCGCGCACATCCCCGCCATGGCGACGTCTGAGGGTCAGGGTCTGCTCTACTCTCAGTCCGGCTACGGCTTGATGTCCGGCGGCGAGCAGCAAGGCGGCATGCACCACCACCACCCGCACCCGCACGTGCACGCGCACCACCCGCTCGCTCGGGACGACGAGCAGCATAGCCACAGCCCGCACCTGAGCGACCACGGAGGCGGGCCGACGCCGCCGCAGCTGCCGCCGCAGCAGCACCAGGACCACTCGGACGAGGACACGCCGACCTCGGACGAGCTGGAGCAATTCGCCAAGCAGTTCAAGCAGCGGCGCATCAAGCTCGGCTTCACTCAGGCCGACGTGGGCTTGGCCCTGGGGACCCTGTACGGCAACGTCTTCTCGCAGACCACCATCTGCAGGTTCGAGGCGCTGCAGCTCAGCTTCAAGAACATGTGCAAGCTGAAGCCGCTGCTGAACAAGTGGCTGGAGGAGGCCGACTCGACTTCGGGCAGCCCCACCAGCCTGGACAAGATCGCGGCGCAGGGCCGCAAGAGGAAAAAGAGGACCTCCATCGAGGTCGGCGTCAAAGGGGCCCTGGAGAGTCACTTCCTCAAGTGCCCCAAGCCCGGCGCGGCCGAGATCAACTCGCTGGCGGACAGCTTGCAGCTGGAGAAGGAGGTGGTCCGGGTTTGGTTCTGTAACAGAAGGCAGAAGGAGAAGCGGATGACGCCCGCCGGGGGGGCCCTGCCGGGAAGCGAGGACATGTACGGGGACAGCCCCCCGCACCACGGAGGACAGACCCCGGTGCAGTGACCTCAACTCCCCCCC